ATACTATTTCTTCTAACCTTCGTAACAGCAAATTTCAGTCTAAAAATAGATAAATGCCTTTGCTATGCTGACAATAACAATTTATTTGGATACATATAATATATGAATTTAATATTTTAACTTAAATTAAAAAAAAGCGGCTATACAATTTTAATAAGCGTTGCATTACAATTGCACCCAAAGCCTACCCTAAACAGATTTGTATTCCAATTTTATTTTCGCCTTCTTCTTAAGACAAGTTAGCCTTAGCAACCTGTGGAGGATAGGAAAGCGACTAAGGAGCCATTTAACTGTGAGCTGTGACCATTTGCCCAGAACCACATGGCTCGTATTTGTCCGTGTCCATGTTGCCTCTTTGAGGCGGAGTGAGTATCCGCTGCTGGAAACGAGACACCAGAACGGGCTACATTCGCTACAAAGCCGTGAACAATGCCGGTCTACAACTCCAAAACTCAATCGGGTTGTTGGGTCGTGCCAAGATTTATGCAAGCCCCAACCTGTTTGGCCCAATTGCCGGACCATCTTTAGCCTCGAGGCATTTTGCCTACTGTTCATGTTCGCCAAAAAACGGTGTGCAAAAGCTCTCTCTCCTTCTCCACATTTCAGGCGTTGATAGTTTTCTTCTTGCTCCTCCAATAAAGACGCTTTGGTTTTGTGCAAAAATTCAACTTTGGGCTTGCAAGCAGTCAAGCCAATTTAGGCATCGCTGGCTCTGCGATCTCAATCCAGCATGTTTTTATTGTGCTCCGAAATGAATGAGAGCATATTTTTTCTGCATATTGAGCATACAGTTTGAGTGAATATACCAATTTTCTGAAGTTGCAATCCGGAGCTTCGGGTGAGATGGGCGAAAGAGTTAAAAGTGAATACTCATTCAAAAACACAACAGTCGTTAATTTTAGAAGTGGGTTGACCTCGTTGTCGCAACTTGGTCTTGTTGTCAGGGAGACTATGTACAACGCACCCAGTCCGAAGTCGTCTGTCATGCTAGTTGTCATGATTCCCAGCATCAGATCGTGGACTTGATACATTCTCAAAAGTTTCGCCGGCATCGTAGTCGGCATCTTCAGTTAGTTTTGCCATTCTCCGCACCATTCTACGAACTCG